ATATATAGATATATAGATACAGATATATATATATATATATGTATATATATATATATAGATATAGACATAGAGGTAAAGGCATACAGATATAGGTATATAGACATAGATATATATATATATATATATATATATCTATGTCTAAAATTAAATAAACAAACACTTCCTTTTTTCTTCTTTTAATGATGAAGAGTTAACGAGATGACCTAAAAATATCAGACAACTCCTGAAAAACTTATTCGTTTTTGTTTACTGCCTCAGCATAAGGAAGGGCCCGGGGGTGCAGATATAATGATATATATATATAATATATATTATATTAAGCTATAAGGCTGTATGCATGCACAGGAAAGCTAGGGAAGAAGCTTTAAAGACAGCATTAATAAAAGGTATAAGAAATGAAAAAGAGCAACAAAAAAATATTTTGCAGGCAGCCTTTTCATTTTAGTAGTTCAGATATGCAGACTTGATAGAGATAATCATCAAATATATATAAATGATAATCTTTACTGTTTTCTTAGGAGTCTCTTAACTAAAAAATTAGGTTAAAAGATTATGTTTCTTTTTGTATTTCTGCAATGCCTTCGTTGCTTATCAGTGCTGTATAAAAGACTATTACGCTGTAGATGTATTTCTTTGTCTGTATTTCTCTTACTTAACTAATAACAATAGGGCGTGATTATTAAACATAATAAAAATAAAAGATAGTATGCTGTAGCTGCAATCGAGAGAGAAGTATTTAAGTATTATATTCAATGCAGTATCTCTTATACCCAGCCCTTCTGGGTAATGCATATATATTTACATACAGTTATATATTTATAAGGGCTTTAGAGGAGGAGAAGAAACTGATAAATAAGATGCATGCATGGGCATTCATAAGAAAGCAGGAGGAATATACCCTTTTGCTGTCTGCACAGACAGTGTTGTTTTATTTAGAATTACGAGAAGAAAACCTACAAAAAGTATCTAATTAAGTTTTCCTCATCTATTAACTTCGTATAAACAATAACAACACTCACTGGAAGAAAAAGAGGAAAACGAGAAGAACCTCCTTAAAAAGCCTTCACAATTGTATGTTCAGTGAATGAATAAATAAAAAACAACATTAAAAATATATTTTAAATGTAATTCTTAAGAAAAAGAAGAATATAACTTGCATGAAGAAGAATTCAATATTTTCTGTCTTTTCGCTGAGCCTGTTCGGGGCTGCGGCGGCGATTGAGTTGAAAAAGTGCTGTAAAAACCAGATTTTAAGGAGAAAATAAAACAGAAAAAGAATTTTATTGCATTTATTTACGTTTATTTGATCCTTTTTTATCTTTTTATGCCCTCTTTGCTGCCTCTTCCAGCGCCTCTGATGCGCAATGATTTTCTTGCTTTTCTACAGCGTATGGCGAAGACGTTTCTGCAGTTTTAATTAGGGTTTTTGTGTTTTTCTTTGTTTATTTTGAGGTATATTAATCCCCTGAATGCATTTATACTGTTCATAATTGGTTTAATTCATTGATTTATCTACATTCCTTTCCTTTTTTAACCGGGCGTTCTTAAGAAACACAGCCAAAGAAGATGTCTTATATGCTGCAGCATCTTCATTCAGGATGGCAGGTGGTGAGGAATTTTATGAATATTTTTGTGTTTTGTTCGTTTAGTTTATCTTTGTTTGTTTATTTTACTCCTTTTGCTGCATCTTTAGATCAGTCCTTACAGTACAGTAACGCTACTCCTCTTCTGCTGCTCTGGAGTTTATCTAATCAAAAATCAGTTTAAATAATTATTTATTCTCTTTCTTTGTTTATTTTAGGCCTTATTTATGTTTATTTTGTAGATAATTGAGGCAATTTTCACCGTTTTTCTGCTTTTTCTCTCCTTAGGATCAAGCCATCCTTACAGAAGAAGAACGCCTTGTGGTGCGTTAGCATTAAAATGAGTTATTTATTTCATAATAATTATTAATTAATAAGTTAATTAATATTAATTAATTAATTCTAATTTATTATTATTATTTAATGTCAATGTTAGATATTAATACTAAATTAATATAATAAATACGTTGGCGTTGAAGTGAATATTTATTTCATGATGATTATTAATTATCATTAATAATTAATAATTAATAATTAATAATAACTCTTCCTTCGTTTTTTTTGAATATTTATTGCATTTCTTTACTTTTTTCTGGTTTCTCTTCTGATCATTATGCGTATCAATATCACTATAATAATTAAAAGAATTATAATGATTACTATTATATAAACAAATGCAAATATAAATGCACTTATTTAATTTTTTTTATTTTATTTCAGTGCATTCGCTTCGGACATGACTTTGACCCCGAGTGCATGAAGATGGACGAGCTGCTTTTCAAGGTTGCAGAAGACGTTAAAAATTTCTGCGTTATTTATGTTGTAAGCAAACAAACATTTCTTTTATTATACTCATTTATTATGTACTTCTTTATAATTATTCTTTTAATGTAGCCCTTTTAATAGAACCCTTTATAATATAATCATTTATTATACTCCTTTATTATATTATCCTTTATACTGTATTTGTTTCATTATATTAGAATTGCATTATTCGATGTTGTTATATTTACATATTATTAAATTTTATTTTATTCACACATTAAACAACTCTTACAAGACATACATATATACATAAATATATATATATATATATTAATTATTTATATTTGCTTATATGTTTCTATTTATTTATTTTTATTTATTTATTTATTTACATTTATTTATATTTATTTACACTTATTTATTTGCATTTTTTGATTTATTTCTATTTCCATTTACTTATTTATACTTATTTATTTATATGCATCTATTTCTATATTTATTTATTTATTTATTTATTTATTTATTTATTTATTTATATGCTGTTGCAGGTGGATACTACCGAGGTGCCCGACTTCACAACTATGTATGAATTGTACGATCCTGTAACAGTGATGTTTTTCTATAGGTGGGTATTATATTAGTATATATTTATTTATTTTTATTTTGAATAAATAAGAAGAAAGAGTTTTAATTAGTAGTGTTGCAACTCGTTTTTTCTTGCTTTATCTCTCTGCCTCTCTCTCTCTCTCTCTATACATATATATATATATATATAT